CCCCCCCCCCTTGTATGGTTAATTTAATTTTGCACATAGGCCAGAAAAAGCTTACAGCGCATTTCTGAATTGCACAGCTGTGCGTACGTCATGACGTAAATGAGTGTTTGAAGCAAGTTGACTGCGAATCCAACGAATGATCAGCAACTTTGCCGCTTTTTATTTTCCCCCATTTTGTAACCACCGCCTCCCTGTGTGCATGCATGTATGCACAAATGTGTGTGTGCTTGTTTCAAGGCTAATCCTAGGAAACTCGCTCAAAAAAAAAAAAAAAAAAGGGAAACAAAAATTGCTAGTCCCATTTTTTATAGTTACTTGGGAGGTTGCACCTTTGTGAGCACGCGCACCCCCAGTTGACTTAAATTTTCCTCACCGCAGCTTAGCCGCACAAAATGATGCAGAGCATCCAGGTAAACTCACCCAAGAAAGTGGTGCGGATGCAAGGAGGAAGTGACGAAGATGAAGAACACGAAAAAGAAGAATACCTCATCACAAACCTAACGGAAAGCAATAAAAATATGCCCAGTCTTATAGTCCGTATTCCGAGCAACATGAACAAATTTTTAAGTAAAGAGGAAGTAAAAATCAACTTTAATGAAGATATTAAAGTACCTAATAAAAAGGGGAGCAAAAAGTTGCGCTCCTTTAAGATGGAGCCATCTGCAACAGGCAGCTGTGAGCAAGTGAGTGAGAAGACCATGGAAAATACCTACGGGAGTCCGGATGTCAGGGTGGACACTACGTACCAGTCGGACGGGACAGATGGAGGGGCAACGCCTAGGAATGGCTTCATTCGCGAAGGGGCAGACGGTGAAAACGGTCAAAGAGACGAAAACAGCGAAAGCGGCGATGATGAAGAGGAAGACCAGGAGGAAGACGAAATGAGTGAGGAACTCATCAAGTCATTCAAACAGAACTACGTGGAGAAGCACCAAACGGACTCCTGTAATGAAAGCGTTACCTTCCTAAGAGAGCATACAAAAAATGAATTGGAATATTTCCTTCAAAAAAGAAAGTTACACTATTCATACGAAATGAAAATAAATGACATTATCAACATCGACTATGATAAGCTGAACGAGAAAAATATCATCCCGTACTTCTTAACCAACATGTTCGATGCAGAACAGAAGAGGAAGAGAGAAAAGTTGAAGCAACTGTTGGAGGCCAAGCGGAAGTGCCTGCTGGAAAGATCAAAGAGGAGGTATAACAACCAAATGGAGAAGGGGGCCGCAGGGTGCCAGAAGGGAAAACCCAAACTCAGCTCCAAGGGGAGCAAACGGACGAAGGGGGAGAAGCTGCACAGCGCGAAGTTGAAAAAGGAGAAGGGTGCAAACGGAAAGGGGGGCCAAAAAGACAACAGCGATTATGACGAAAATGACGACGAGAATGACAACCAAGATGACGACGCTGATGACGAAGACGACGCCGACGGAGAGGACATCTCGGGCAGGAAGGGACACTCCGATGGGGGGGACGACACATACGAGCCTCTCTCAACGCGCGTCAAGCGGAAAAACAAGCCTGGGGCGAAGCTAGTGGGGGTAAAAGACAAAAGGACGCGCACCAAAGAGGGAGACAAGCAGGAGGATCCATACCTGGACGACTTCGATAAAGACGCCGACGTGGACAATGATGTGAACATTTACAACGATCCGACGCTGTACGGAATCGAAGGCAGCAGTGACTATACGGAGGGGCTAAAAAGCGATTTAGAAAACTCCCAAGAAGAAGAAGCAAAGGATCAACAACCGATGGGGAACATTTCAAAGGAACACAAAAAAAAAAAAAAAATGTAGAGGAAGTAGGAGAAGAAGAAGAAAAAATAGATGATATAATAGATACAGAAACGCAAAAATTAATCTCGTATGATTACTATTCCAGTGTGAATATAAAAGAAGTGGTAAAGCCCAGTTATAAAATAAAATACTTAACCCCCTTTATTCCCATTGAGGAAAATATTGACAATTTAGATCACGTCCAAAAATTGCAATACCTGATTAGGAACCTGCCGCACACACATATAAAAGAGAAGAGGTCTCTGTACCACTACAACATTAAGCAGTTTATCAAGTGGAAAGTTTACCTAATGAATAATATAAACATTTGCCTCTACGGAGTAGGGTCAAAATATCACGTGCTGAACCTGTTTAGCAACATATGCCTAAATGACGGCAACAAATGCATTGTGTTAGGGTTCGAAGAAGAAATAGACTTTGAAGAAATTCTAACACGCATATTAGAATACCACTATAGGTACAAAACATCCAAAAATTTAAAGTCATTTGATTTGCTCTACGAATTAATCCACAAAGTAAATGAGATTAATTTGCCCCTCTATTTTGTTATCCATAATATAGATAACGTAAAATTATACCCCTACTATGAATACTTTTCTTTTATGAGTCAATATGATAATATTCACTTCGTTTGTTCCATTGATGATGTTTCCTTTGAGCTTAATATGAACTTTAAGAATATCAGCTCGATTAATTTTCATTATGTGAAGTGTCACACGTGGTTAGATTACCGTCACGAAATTTTGAGGCAGTGGAATAAGTTCCTCCCTGAATGGGTCTTCAACAAAAAGTGCGAAGAGGTAGACGTGAAGAATAACATAGAAACTATATTAAACGCGCTTAGTATAAATCATAAGAGACTCTTTAAAATCATTGCATCCATCCAGTTGGAAAATCTGGAAAAGGGCATCTACGGGGTGGAGAAAGAGTCCTTGCTCCAGGACAAGCGAATATTTACCGTAGGAGCGTCCAGCATCAGGATAAATTCCCTTCTTGTCGAGTTCGTGTCCCACAATGTTATCACCGAAACGAGGCTCAGGGAGGGTAACACCCTCCTCAAAATAAATGCAGACAAGGAAGAGCTCAAGAGGGTCGCCGAGCAGTTGTGAGGTGGACACACATGGAAAAAAGACGCCGCCCTCGATGAACTTCTCCCTCTAAGGATAAAACCGTGAAAAGCCCCACATACCCTCTTATTTTTTTTTTTTTTTTTTTATGATAAACTTTTTTTAGTCTATATTTTACAAGATTGGAAAACTTCTTAATGTTAAAAAAAATTCGTGGGCTGCTAGCCCTGCGCCTGTAAGGTGTGAAAAAAAGGGAAAAACCGGGAGAATCCGGAAAAAGAGGCGTTAGGACATGCGACAAATTAAGTCCCGCCGGTTTGACTTTACGGATGCGCATTCGGGTATGTGTCTCATTTGTTCACTTGCCTATCTGTTGATAATGTGCACCCCATGGCCGTCTCCCCCGTCTTTGCTTCATCGCAACTGCGCAAAATCGATCAGCCGCTACACCATTCAGAAGGCGTCCGCTTCCTCCTCGTCGGGCGAGTCTGCACCATTGTTGTTCCCCTCATTATCCTCTTCATCGTCCGCGTTGTAGACGTCGTTCGGGAAGGCAATGGCCGTGTTGTTCTCGTTTATGGTGAACACAGTGAGCTCCACGTACTTGTCAATGGTGTTAAAAACGTGCGCTTTGGTAAACCCCTTGGTTACAGCCTGCGTTTCGATTTCTTCAATCGATATCCATCCATTCCATTTTTTTTTCTTTTCCATAATTTTCTCCTTTATACTTTTAATAATATTCATAATTTCGGTGGAGGAATCTTTCCTTCTTCTTTTTTCCGTTTGTTGGGAGACGCTAGCTTTGGACTGCTCCGTTAATCGGATGGCTTCTTCAAAATCGGCTGTCTCTATGACATCGCTGTCTCTCAGTCTGGCTAGTGCCTGTGATATTCGAAGAATGGCTAGCAGTGCTCTCGGTGTTGTATAATTAATACGGGTGTCGTTGTACCTCTCCTGCTGCGATTCTAGTTGTCTGGAAGAAACATACCATTGGGTAATTTTGGGAATCAGGTCTGGCGAAATCGTGGGTTCTTTTTTTTTGGCTAGCTGGATGAACGCCCTTAGCACTGTTTTGTCAATTTCTTCATACCCTTCGCTGCTCAATTCGGATCTTTTCTTTTTATCATCATTAGAGTCTGCGCACTTGAGAATGTTCAGGACATGCTCAGCTAGCTTTTTATCCTTATCCCGATCGGATATGTCCAGAAGTAGAAACTGTAAATCAAATCTGGTTAGCAGCGCAGCAGGCAAATTCATGTTAAGCATAACGGATTTCTTACAATCGTATCTGCCATTAATAGGGTTGGCAGCTGCCAATACAGAGGATCTCGCAGGCATGTTACTACAATGGCCAGCTTTCGCTATGGAAACGGTTTGTTGTTCCATAACTTCGTAAATGGCTGATCGATCAAATTCGTCCATCTTGTCAAATTCATCAATGCAGCATATTCCTTTGTCAGCCAGGACAAGTGCTCCTCCCTCTAAGGTTGTTTCCCCCGTATTGGGGTCTTTCAAGACGGCTGCAGTTAAACCAACGGAACTGCTTCCCTTTCCTGTCGTATAAATTGATCTAGAAGCAATGAGACAAACCTTCTTCATTAGCTGACTTTTTGCAACTCCAGGATCTCCCATGAGTAGTATATGTATATCACCTCTTATCATCCCACCATCTTTTTTTTTTTTTGTGCATCCTCCGACTAGCTGCAGCAGGAGAGCCTTCTTCACATCGTCATGTCCATATATTTCAGGGCCGATATTAAAGGCTAACTTTTCGTACAAATTGGGGCTATTTTTCAGAGCTTGAACTTCTTCCATAATTTTGTCATAGTTGTCAATATGCTCGTTAAAATTTTCTTTATTGTTTTGTACGTAGTAAATGTGAAAGACCTTCTCTGCAATGAGTCCGCCCTTTAATGCTTGGAATCCACTTTTCGTGACTGGCATTAGAACCCCTGTGAGGGTGACAGACATCCCAGGTTGTACAGAAGTGGTGGACTCACCATGAATTATACAGTTCATACTCCTGGGGATGTCTCCTTCTGGTAACTGGCTAGGCAATTCTTGCACCTTAATTTCTTGGTACTTTACAAATTTACTTAACTTGGCTTGAAATTTGAGTGATCCTCTAACACCGTGCACATTTGTGCATCCGGGGCAATCAAAAAGAGGCATAAAAAATGGACCATCCACTGCTTTATAGGCAAATACGTGGCATCGATCACATTCGTATGTGGCTACCTGAATCCTCGGCTTCAGTTGGGTAGCTCTAATAACTTCACATTCGAAGGTACTTAAAGATCCTATACAATCTGCATTCACTACTCTCATTTTTCGAACCAGATCTCTCGAACTTGGGATTAGGATAATTTCAAAATTGACTCTTAAATATGCTGGAAGTTTGTACTCTTTCATTCTTTCTTGTCTAATTTCTTCGATTGGTTTAATCATGTCACGAAATAAGTTGTTAAAAGCTTCCTTTTCACTTTCGTCTGTGGAATACCCACTAAGGTCTTCATTATTTATTCTCCTCAAGTTCTTCCTCTTTGTCTTCTCGCTTTCGTCTTCCTCCCCATAACCCTTTGCAAACCTTTTGAAACATTCATCGGATAAGCATTTGTCCGCGGCGGAGTAAAGTAGCTCCATGTACCTGTGCGTGTTCGTCATGATCCCATTGTACACGGAGTAATCTGCCTCCTTGTTATCCTTGCAGAAATGTTCCCTTAGGTCGTCCAAATATATTGGCAGCAACTCCGTTTCGTGATTGTGAATCTTCTGCAGGTATCCTTTATATTTTAACTTCCCCCAGTTGGTGTGGTTCGCCGAGGGGTCTTCGAACGTGTCGAAAAAGGTCACCAACTCGTCTATGTGCGAATTGTAATTCTTCACTGCTTCTAAATACTTCGTGTGGTTATCATCCACGTAAGTCCTGATTTCCATTTTTCTCTCCCCCATTTTTGCACTCTCACGTGTAAGTGGGGAACCTTCGGGGATGGGGGTAGCCGCGCCCTGGGCAGTACAAAGGGGCACGTATCTTTATATATACTAATATGTGTATTAATATATATACTTATATATTTATATATTCATATGTTGATACATTTATATATTCATATGTTGATACATTTATATATTCATATGTTGATACATTTATATATTCATATATTTATATATTTACATTTATATATATATGCACGTGTGCACTGCTGAGACCCCCTCGCACGCAGCACCTCTGAAATTCGCTCCGGCCCCGGCGCACGGAGAATTACCAAAGTTACAGTGCGCTGACGCAAGGTGAGTGTCCTGGGAAACGCCTCTTAGATAATTTCCGCTAAACACATTTGAAAGGGAAGGAACTCTCATCGAGATACGCCTCACCCATGTGATAAATACACATCCAAGCGCGCTCCTTCGATTGGCATATGTGTATTTTGGTGAGAATAGAAGGAGAAAAAACGTGAGCACATTTTTTTCATTTCTTTATCTGTGCACGACTTGCTTTGCTCCTTTAAGAAAAAAAATAAAAATAAGAAGCGTGTGGCATAATTTGGCGTGCTAAACGAACGCGTAATGGTTTAAAAAAATATCTTACGATATACGAGAACGACACGGATACCATTTCGTCGTGGAAAATTTTTTAGTAAAAAAAATAATTATCAAGGAAACGTCAACTAGGCAAACGTAACAATTTCGCTAAAAATAGACATAAGGGGTTAAAAAAAAAAAATTGGAGCGTTCTTCCCGTGAAAATGTTCCTGGCGCATGAAGGTCATGGGCATTTTGTGCGACTCGGAAGGGAAAATCCGCATCGCGCCTCAACACATATGCATTATTTCACGGGAGAGCCGATTCATGGGTTCGCAAAAATGGCACTCTCCTTCTTGAAGGAGGGCGTTTTGATTTTCCCACGCTGGTCCCGTTCAATTTTCCCTTCCTTATGTCTGCTAAGCTTCGCTGTGCTGAGCCGGGTTTCGGGTTTTTCTTTTCCTCCGTAGCGCATCATTTTGACGCGCCCTTCATTTTAAGACATACTGGACAAGAAGAACAGTGTTTTAATTCCCCCTTTTGAATGTTTATTTGTAGGTGTTTATCTGGGCAGAGGGCACTAATATTATGCGTTTATCGGAAGGTAGCCCATAAACCTTTCTTAAGAGACCACCTCCGGAGGGACCCCCGCGCCATGATGGATACCTACAATTGAAAAGTGTGCCTCCCCAGGTATAGGCTTCCATTGAAGTGTTCTTCAGAATGCCTCTTTTAAGGCGAATAAACCATTTGCTGTTCTGCTTCAGCGCAGACAAGCAGGTTGGCTCACCCCTTTTTTTACCCCATGAATGAGATGGGCACAGATGTTGCATGCGCGGGACTGCACAACTTTTTTAAAAATGCCTCTTTAAATAGCGAGGTGCACACTCGTCCCTCCCTATGCCTGCTGGTGACCCCTTGACAATCGACATATCTAGCCTTTTTAAAGGAAGAAAAAACATCCACTTTTTTTTTTTTTTTCTTGTCCTCATTTGAACAATTCGTTGCGTTAAGAAACGTTTCAAAGTGGTGTGCAAATTCAAAAAAAAGAAAAAAATGTGGAAAAGACAAAAAGGCGCAAAAATGGACCCAGCGAACTGAAAAAAAAAGAAGCTGAAGAAGATGAAAATGCTTCTCTAAACACCGAAAACATATTTTTATAAGTTGAAAATGGGCGCGCCAAAATAATGAGTCGAGTGTGAACTGATTCAAAAGCGTTAATTATTTATCACTCCCCGTTGTTCC